TAGCTAAGCTCTACTGTAAAAGCTGCTGTTGGTGGAGAAAGCTGGATTTGCATACTTGAATGTTGAACTGCAGTGAAAAACTACTGCAAAACATTCATCTCTGATACTGAGAGTAACATCAAAAATCTATTCAGGAGAGTTAAAACCGATACCGTCTCTGCTCAAGTGTAGAAATGCGATGATTGTTGGTCCTAAACGTCTAGTTTTTGTCTTCACTCTTATGTAGGCTACTGACTTTGGCCCATGCAGCCAACTCTTTCTTAATATGAGCGTTATCACATCTTATAATAAACCTAAAAACAATCTAGTCACAAAAGGGAATAGGCTGATGGACACCTAAAACCCCCCAAAAGTGGAAAGTGGTTTCCCATGTTTCCCGTATTTAACTTACTGGCTTGTAGTGGCTAACCATTAATTCATCTCGCTAAACTTCTTCTCAACAATAAAAGCCACTAGAACAAAAGCCCATAGTTGTTTGCAAACATTATAAAACCAAACAACAATGTAGTTTCTTGATCAGCCATAAACCACTCAAAATCTTCTCTATAAAACCAGCATCAGAGCAGTTCTCATGCTCCTCATAACACACTGTGAGATGGCCTCCTAACTATTCCAAACTACTGTGTCCAGAAAACAGTTATAAAACTGGAGCAGCAAACTGCCAATCCCCTTGAGAACAATTAAGTCCTCCACCAGCCTGCTGTTTAGTATGTTGAGAAAGAACAATTTCGTGTCATTATAGCCAACACTTGGTTTCGGAGATTATATCAATCAGAACGACCTAGAGTGGGAACATTAGGTTCTCATCACCACATGCTGAACATCAGGGTGACCTCTGACACAGAAAAATGGTAAATTCCTCCTTCAAATGGTAAATAAGATGTCACTTCTGATCAGTGTCAATGAAGCTTTGAGCGATTACCACTCATAAAGGCATGCAATGACACAATAAAATTGCTCACAATTATGCAGTGAACTAAGATTTTGACTTCCTCCACAACAAAAAAGACTTTATTCTGCTGCGAGTGGGAGAAAGCCCTGTGAAAATCCTGTCTTTGTGGCTAGATTTTAGTTTTATTGCTTTCAGAAAAAACACTCCACTGGACCTGCGGTTTCTGCAAAAACATCCCTCCTCTCAAGTTGCGAGCCTTGTAATTCAAATATCAATAACAGAGATATCCACTGATCCACAAGAAAAGCATATAGACTTGACAGCTAACATGTGCTACTGAGGCTATTTGCTTTTGCATTAGCTCTGCTGTCGGCTATGAAATTTTCTTTTAAGTGCACAACAAATAAGCAGAGAGAATCACACACAAAACAGTGATATCCCTGTGACAAATTAGTGGCAGAGAAAGAAACATTGCATTGTCAGTAATTATGTATTACTTTCAAGACTGCAACACTGAATGATATGTGTGAGTAGCATGAGTGTTAAGTGTATTAGTTATCAGTTTGGGGCAGTAAACATTAATAATTATAGCAGCTCCTGACACTTCATTATGCATGTCTCACAACTTTTTACAAACACTGAAATCTGCAGGAATGGGGTCCTCCTTTGATGCTCTGTAAATCATTTAACCCTTGGTGTGACCATCTACCACCTTTGACACAGAGAGTACTGGCTGCACAAGCATCGCTTCCCAAGGTAATCAATGTATTTTGTTATTGGTCCAAGAAAGTGTACTCCTCAGAGGTAGTGCTTTGGGACTGGATCGCTGCCTGGAGGTATAAACTAGCCATTAAGGAGGCTGTCTCAAAGGAAAAGCCTGAGGTCTGACCCAAAAACAACAACAATGTGCCCTACTAATGTACCCTTGAGCAAAACAATACCAATCTGTCTTGGTAAATTCACTCCTACTGTACGGGGCCACAAGGCAAACTGAGCTCAGAGAGGTCACAAAGTATTTCAGGTTCAGCAAATGCAGAAATGTAATTGCTGAAATGTACACAAGATGAGGCCTAACAATCTGTCACTGCGCCCAACCTTGCACATGAAAAGTGTCCAGGGAGAAACTGGTCCATTTTGTGCACTGGCTTATTTTATTACAATGTAACAAATAGGATATAAAGTGCACTTACGTAACGTCTCAACTTTTTTTCAGGAGGAGACTTTCTCAGCCACCCTGAGCACACCACATCTCCCCCACTCATATCTGCTCCTTTCTTGCTCTCCCTCGGAGTTGGAGCGGGGATTGCTGCTTGGCTTCGTTTGTTTTTGGGAGTGTCGTCTTGTACCTGAAAGAAAACGTTGACACAAAAACTCACACGGCGAAATTGAGACAGGAAAAGTTGAAGTGTTTGTGTTTTCGAGAGCGATAAATACCGTCACTCCTTCTTCGAAAGTCGACTCACCGACACGGCAGTTCTCTGAAATGCACAGACCAGATTTTCCACGAGTTGAAGTCAAATAAACGGGTATATCCTGGGCTTGGAGTTAATATAACCCTCCGCGGCACCGCCTTTTGTACAAATATCAACGGTGACTTGTGTATTATGTTCAAACTGAAACGCTGTGGGGGCAAAAAACAGGCGCAGGCAACTGAAAGTCGCTAAGTTTTTGTTGTTATATGTGACGCCTCATGCTAATTCCCGTCAAAGTGGAGCGATTTCCAGTTGGCGAGATCAGATGAAAATGTCCCACAGTGTACCGGCGCATAGTTGTCGTTTCTGCGCAAATTAAAACAATCTTCACCGTAAACACAGGGGTTCCGCCGAGCTTCCTTACCAGTTTACTCCCATGGTTCCTTAATTGTGATTGACAGGGTGGCTCCGTCTTTCCCTAAACTCACCCTCCTCTGGAACATGGCGGCGTCAAGCTACCAGGGCTAACGGCCAACAGACCGGATGTCTGGGGATTCCTTCAAAATAAATGTTTGGCTTGTTCAGAACGTTAGTTTACACTGTTATTGCGCCAATATTAATAGCGAAAACGGACCTTTTAAGTTAAGTTATGTGCGAATCCTCTAGGTAAGTCTTTGTGTGTTAACAAAATATGTCTGTTCGACCTTCCAGTATGTTCCCTCAACGCAAAGGCGATTTATTTTGAAAGTCGCCACCGGATGTAAAATTCTTGTAGTTCCGCTCGCTTCATTACTACTCTAGAGGACGAAATGGGGAGGCGGCGGCGTGTAGGGAAAACTGTAGAGCTTCGACCATGGGACATGTAGTTCAAAAATCGTTTGTGTTCCGTTCCAAATAACAAAAAATGACTGCAGGGCGGTTTAGAAGGTGAAACATGATGTAGTAGAGCCAAGTGCACCTTTAAGTGAACACAAAAAGTGGCCGTATACAGTTGCAGAAAAGACAAAGAAAGGATCCACCTCTGTGTGAACCGAAAGGTCCCAAGAAATCATTGCACATGTAAACTACACTATCCATAATGCGTGTTTATTCCCTCAAGAAATCTCGCCATAAAAACCATGTAATGTTAGCAGAATGGCAGAAAGAAAAGTGCACTCATTTACCTATTATTGGGTGTAATGTTATGGCATTTTTCTCCTTGTATCCTTGGATAGTCATTTTTATTAAGAGGGAGTTGCACATACAAACATGGAGTATATTAACAATATCAAATACGTAATGCATTTTGAACTTGTTGTCTGTGATTCTGTCTGCATGATTCTTTGACTTTAACTGTTTTTTTAAATAGCTAGATTAGTAGTGAATTAAAGGTTAGTACGCAACAGCACAGTAATAATGAAAAGGTTATATTTACAAGGTTAACATTGATCTGGTTTACCATATCTGATCAATATACTGGACTCAACGAAGCCTCCACAACTCGTCTAATCCGCTAGCAAAGACGTGATCCCTGTGGACTCAGAATGGTATCTGAGGAATCTTATTGGAATGCTATTGTAATGGTAAACACTTCCCCCAAAGGATGTTCCCTGTTAGTCTATGATTAATGACTTTGCCATTGTGCAGGCACATTACCTCTTTCAACAGCCTCCATATTGATGAAGAAATAGGGAGCAATTAAAGGCTGCAGACACAATACACCGATTGCACTTAATGAATTCCATTTCATGATACCTTACATTTAGCATCACAGTCCAGTATCAAGTAGCTTGTGTGCCATGTTCTTGATGCATCATGAAATTGGTGTGGTTTTGGTCTAAGAGGCTGTGAAGTTGCCTTTAATGCTGTGTCTTGTTGCTGTGCCTTACAGGTGCATAAATCTTTAGTTTATGGGCTCCACAGCATAAATGTGTTCAACCGAGGACATCTAAGTCACAGTGCATAACTCATTTGTAGCCACACTGGAGGAACAGACCAGACCTTATTTACTGTCAGTACATGCTAAATGAATATGAGTGCATATGCAATTTATGCAACTATAAAAGCCAATGACATTTTTCAATATTATAAGAATACACATTAAATATAAAGACGAGATATAGTGTCATACCATTCCCAAGCCGTAACATTTCAACAAAAGTGGGGAGAAAAGTGAAATGGTTTGGTTGATTAATAATTGAGGATCATTGATTTTTTTTCTCTCCAAATGCCCTTTGGAAGCTTTAGTGCTACTGCTGTGTTTTACCATATCAATTGCTAATTAGTAATAAAGGGCACCTCTGCACACAACTTGCTATTTCAACATTACAAATGTAATTTGTCCTATTCCTGTGAGAATAAGTGCCCGCATGTGATTTCCCAGTTCCCTTTTCTGTCCGTGTTTTGTTTATCCTCACTTCCATTTGTGCAAAAATATTTTTGCAATCAAAGCAAAAACATGATACATGGGCTTGTTTTGAATTATGCAACAATATATGGTTCTGTATTCTTTTTTTAATCAACAAAGTTGCTTACATACTGAAAATCTGCATGTTTTGGAGTAGGATTCTTGAGATTTGAAGTATCAATAGCATACCAAACCTAACCATTTTTTATGTGAATAACTTTATCAATAAAAATACGTTTAACTTGCAAATCCATCTAGTCATACTAAGATCTAGTTGACAGAAGAAAACTGGCACTGGTGCAACAAATAGTCAGTGTTAGGCAGTGTGTATTGAAATGTACTGGGTTACAGATTACTAGTTACCCTGTTAAAAATGTAACACAACTATTTAATTACTTCATCAAAGCAATGGAAGTTATGACATATGATTGCTTTTTTACTTTTTTACTGGACAATAAACCTGCAAAGTCCTCAAAAATACAAGTGCATGATGTACTCAAATTTCTCCTAACAGCTTTCCTTAAGTGGAAAGAAGGTGCCTCCGCATGGTAAAAAGATGCACAGCAACAGAATTAATGTTATATTCTAGGTTTGTCCTAAAAAACAATTGGATGTAGCCCTCTGTAGTCACCAACATTTTAAGTAACTGTAATTAAATTGCATATTTTTTTCTCAGTAACTGATTACAATTATATTTATTTTGTAATTCAATTATGTAACTCCGTTTCATGTAACTAGTTACTCCCCAACACTGGAAATAATGACCTATCCAAACCAAAACAAAAAAAAATCGCTCCCACCAAATCAAGATGTAGCACTAGAGATGTCTCCTGATCAATATATTCTCTGCAGTGGGGATGTGACAAGTAAGGTCATGCAGACATTGAAGTATGCTTCAGCATAGCAACACACTCATGACTGTCGTGTTTGGCTCCTGTCCACAGTAATAATTTGCAGTTTCCAGAAATCACCTGTTGCTTTGTCTTGCCTTCCGTCAGTATCAGAGTATTTATTAATTGCATTTTATCTTATTTTCAACAATGTGTATAGCCTTGTCTTCACCATGACGTTTATAGTTTAGTCTCCAACATCAGCCTTTCTCTGCTGAAATACCACTTGAAATAGCTTTACCTTCAATAACCAGCCTGGTTAAGTAAGACAATACAACAAATACTGGTTTGTTTTTACTTTAGGGAAAGGTGAAGCCATTATGAATATCAACACAGTACAGCTGATTTGTGTATTCCGACAAATTCCTCTTCAAAAATCTGCATTAAATATCAAAAGGCACATAAAATCAGCATGAACACAAAAGTCTCCCTGAATGATCAAATCAGAGGAATACATTAAAATACGCTGTCAAACAGTTAAGTCTTGTCAAATATGTTCAAAGAAGTCATTTGCCATTTTCCAATGTAGATAACTCTACCTATTAGTGGGAGGACAGCATTAACTATTCAGACTGAAAATGCCTTTATCTTGGGATTTCCCAAATATAGTATTCAACTTTCCACATATAGGTTTGTATTCCATGATTATTCAGAATTTTAAGTCATATGTACATTTATTGCATGGGATATGAAACCTGTAAAACACAGCAAAGCACACATCAAAAAAGATTTAAAATATCGTGAAAATCAAACCCCACAGCTCGGGGAGAAAAGCTGCATGCAAATCAGAAAAGTAAACAAAGGTCGTGAACTGTATGTTCAGAACTATGACAAATCAAAAAGTCTGTTTATCTTACAGATGTCTATTATACTGTGCACTGCACATGCATGTATTTGCATATGTTTGTTTGTGTATGTGTGTGTGTGTTTGTGTGTGTGAGGTAATATCATAAACACTGACAAGCCAGATAATATGGGCATGTTCTAGACTCAGCCAGTTTCACACATTTATCAATGTATGCAACAGTTTATTATTACTATTTTATTATTATGTCATTTAAGGGAGAGAATACATTTGCACCAATAAGTATTATCTACCTCACGTTTTAAAATTTGGAGGATTATTCGAAGATTACAATGTTGAGATCACAAAAAAATCATCTAAATCAATCAAATACTGTTAAATGATTACTGAAAGTGGTAAAAAAAAAACAACTATTATATTCAGAACAAAAAACCAAATCTAAAATCAGAATCAGCACAGATGCTGTGTGTGTGCATGTGTGTGTGTTTTTGGATCAGTTCAGTGCTTTTTTTCATGAGGTTATATGCACATCTATGGTTTAACGGTTCAGGCTTCTGTATGATCACTTCAGGACTTGCTTGGTGCCAGTTCGTCAGGGTTTCCTGCAGCATTTTTTTTCTTTCAGAAGACCAGTCTGCTAATGGTATTGAAGCCCCCTCCACCTCCACCTCCACCAGATGGGCCGCAGCTCCCTGGTGGGTTATTGTCATCTGAACCGTTGGGCCTGAATGAGCAGGAGGATGAAGGGGCCTGGAGAGCCTGGGTCCGAGCATTGAGCTCCTGTTCCTATTGACGGCACAGAGGAAAAGAGAAATGTTTCAGATTTAGACAGAACTAAATATGTATCTAACTAACTTACGCTATGCCAACAAGTTAATGTAGCACTGGTGTAGCTCAATGTGACTGACAGTGATTCAGTGTTGTCACTTAACATTATTACAGCACCCTCTAGAGGTGATTTACTTCAGTCACTTACACAAGTGTGCTGGAAAGTCAACTCAACACACCACAGTTCAATGACTCGTGAAATTACACCTCATGTCTTATAACAGGACAGTTCAGATTTGGCTTCAAGTTCAGTCAAAAAAAAAAAATCCTATATTCTGCAAGCTCTCAGTCATCTGTAAAATATACACTGTTTTCCCTCAGCTTCTTTCCACCTGAGAGAATCTTGTACAGCCCTTGACTTTCATAATAACCTCACGCTTACTAGAGGGGTTAGTGGTAATGACGTTATGTGTAAAATGTATGTAACGCGTGGAAAATAAGCACAGTGTTCATCCAATAATATTTATCCCAAAATACCCAACAAACCTCTTAGCAGCAGATTAAATACTTGCTCTAATGCTAATCACTTCACACTTGCATTTATTGGTATAATTTATAGGGACTGACATCACGCCTGCACGTAGGAGACGCATGTTTTTTGTTCACCCCCACATACCTGTAAATACAGCTTGTTGTCCTTGATAATAGCATCCAGTAGGTCTTTCTGCAGGGGAGGCTCAGCACTCACTCTCATTCCATTTGCCATCAATCCCCCGTTTACGTTCTGCCCCGGTAGCTCCTGTTTCCTGTACATGAGCACATAAGCTGTGTCCTTGGGGAAGCGTTTTGTAATGTTTTGCACCGATTGGAAGGATGTGAATGTCACTCTGCTATCATTGAACAGCAGCCAATCCTTTGCCTCCTGGCCACTGTTAGGTAGTGTTTCCTCTTGTTCATGTGGAATTGAGAGAGCTGAGCAAGTGGAGAGGCTACACTCGGACTGGCCGTTCCCCAAATCCTCCTTGAGGGCAAAGTGGTTGGCTGGATGCTGTGTTCCATCTGCTCCGTTAATGTTACGACCGTAAGAGTAATAGTGGCCACTCTCGGACGATACACCAGAATGCATCACCACTGAGCTGAGGACATAGGGCACTGACTGGACTGACATCCCTCCTCCTCTGTGTATCTGCTCTGCTCCATCTATCCTCTCCTTCTCCTCCTCCTCCTCCTCATCTTTTTGAGATGGTTTGAGTTTCTTGGCCAGATTCTCACTGCTCTCAGGAGAGTCCACTTGCAGAGGAGAAGAGGTAGAGGAGGAGCACTGTGCAGGCTTTGAAGTAGCATGCACAGGAAGTCTCATGAGTGGCGGGATGGTGACATTGTCCAGAATCTTCCTCCGCACATGGCATTTGGCATCATATGAGAATCGCAGCAGGGTGAGGATCAAGTATTCCGGTGCTGACACCACTTTCATGTTCTTCTCTGCCCGCTGGAGGGAGCTACACTTCTCACAGAAATAGGCATTCTCTTCGTCCAGGATCTCTGGAGCCAGAAAATAGTTCACCAGGTCAGGCACAGACAGAGGAGGCTCATTTGTCAATGGCACCAAACTGACATTGCTAGCTGGGGCTTTGGCCGAGCCCGGCTCAGGAATTTCACTGCCGCCATTGACAGATCCCTGACAGAGAACCTTGGCTTCCTCTGAGGAGCCCTCAGGTTGAGGGCTGTCCCGAGAGGTGGCAGGAGGACAGAAGGCCAAAGAGAGGTCTGTAAAAGGCTCCTCCTTCTCAGAGATGCAGTTACACTGCATACAGCGAATACATGTGATCAGCTTCCCACCAAACATCCTTTCTGTCAAAGTCCTCCCATCATCCTCAGGTTTGATTTCTGCTGAGGTCAAAGAGGTCTCTTCACCGTCCTCTGGAGAAGTCTGCGCTGTTGGGTCTTTGCTGCTTGTGTCAACAGGGGGGGCAACCTTTGGCTTTACCGATTCTAAGACCTGAAGTGTTTTCTCCTCTTCGTGTAACCTTGAGATCAGGAGACGGGGCAATCAACATTAGAGGAGAGAACACAACTGTGCATCGATTTTAGGTTGTGCCACTGCTGTGATAGTGCACCACTTCTATTCTGTCTAAACAACAAGCTTCAGTCACATCATTTAGTTCTAAAGAAATTACGATTTACAGCAGTGAGCCGCAGTCATGCACACTCAACACTCACAGGGATTTTTATGTGTTTATAAATTACATTTTGTTTCGTTTTGCATTTAGTGGCAACAACTGACATTCATTTGGCAAGGGGGAACAATAAAGGAAAGGCAATTTTGGATTTCAAATTTGAAAAACTAACTTGACACAATCTGCGCCACCATACCTGTCCAGAAGAAATCTGAGGTACTCAGAACAGTCCTGCTGAGAGCCGACATTGAACCAGGGAGGCCGAGATGCTTCTAAGAAGTTTCTGGGAGCATATGCTGCCCTCTGCAGGAAACAGACATGCACCACACACCCACACACACACATGCAGACAGCACCACGGAGTCATCAACTGTTGTTGTCACCACTAATTATATTATGTAATATCAATCACACGGGACAATACTAACCTGAGTGTGTGCAAGGAAAGCAAAGAGCATCTGGAGCCTTTTCATTAGTGTGTTGGAACCATTTAGAGGTAATGATAAAACATGTCGCCTGAAACTGAAGACAAACAAAGGTTAACTACACTCAGACTGTCTGTAAGTACCTGTATGCCTGCAACAAGCTTGTGTGTGTGTGGTTGCATATACAACTCACTCTGTGGCCATGAAGAGGGTCTGGATGATGCTGTTCATGAAGCAGGTGTTCCCCAGGTTGACCAGGCCAGTCTTGCCGGTCTCAGACTTCCCAACTTGCCTCAGAGGACCTGAGGCAAATGAGTTGGACTGGGACGTCCAGGCACTTTGATTCAACACCAGCTTGATCTTCTCTTCTCCAGGTTTTGGGAGATCCTGAGAAGGTAAATTGAATCATTTACATACACTCTTGATCATCTATGTCATGTAAAAAAAAAAAAAAAGACTTTCTGAGGTAAGCAACTTTACCTTGATGGCGTCCAGTATGTGGTCGTAGAGGTCAGGGAAGCCGGAGTACTGGTACATCATGCAGTGTATGAGCTCAGTGAACTGCAGTAAGAAAGCTTTGCTGGTGGGGAGACCATCTGTCCTCAAAGACTGGACTAGATGCACCACATGTGGAACAACCTGGAACGAATACAAGAGAATGTTTAGGACACCGTGGTGCTGGAAGGTGCTGCTAATATTAATCACACAAATATGCAGTACAGTCAACCAGAGGGTAGCTGCACATCAGGAACCCCACAGAGGGTTCGGTCTCATTTGCTGAGTATTTTTGAGACTATTCATGTTTTTAGACACTAATGAAATTGGCCAACTCAAGGGCCATTGCTCGGCATTTAAGTGCTTCACACATCATTAGAAGGAGAGCAGTGCCGAGCCTGGAGTTCTGGGAAAAGAAGTCTATGCAGCTTTCAAGTAATTTAAGCCAGAAGAGAAGAAAATGAGAAAGCCAATAAAGTAGCCATATGACAGGGAAATGGGCTGTGAGGAGGCAGGAGATCCCATACCAAATGGAAGGCCTCAGGAGAGTGCTGGAAACTCAGCAGCATGTGGGAGAGCACAGCTAGCGCCCCCTGCCGCACAATAGGGTACCACAGACGACTGAATACCTATGGATATAAAAAACACAAAATCATTAGGTCATGAATACAAACTGGGGAATTCAAGTGAATCTTTTTACCAGCCCTAGATGATAAATCTTTAAGAAAAAATACTACAAATACCTAATTATTACTGCAGTTTATCATGTAGTTTTAATGATGTATACAATTTCCCGTCAAGCTTCTTCCTGAGGTCTATAATAAATCAAAATGAAAACTACAAACCAGTTCAATTTTAAGCAGAGTGACATCTATGAGGATAGTGAACTTCTGAACGGCAGCCAGTCCTTTCAGCAGAGCAATAACCCAGGTGTCAACATGGTGGGCCAGGGGCCAAGAAAGCCAGTCAATCATCCTGGACAGAGAGAGGAATGTGGAGTGTAAATAATGTGCAAAACTGTGGAATAATTATGGTAACATTTATTTTGGATGACTAGATGTGTGGGGTTACCTGCAGAGCGCTTTAGTCATGCTTGCGTCTTTAACATTTTGGTCTGTGGTGAGACTCTTGATGAGCACTGTGATCATTTGGACGGGGATGTGCTGCACCAGGCTGGCCAGAGCGATGGATGGGTCAAAGGCGGGGTCTGCAAAAAAGAAATCACAGTTGAAATAGTACGTAATTATTCAGCCCCATTTTTTCTTTTTGTATCAGTAAGTGGGGTACATATAAGCCAGTGGTTCCCAACTGGTCCAGTGATGGGGTCCAGATTTCTCCTCAGTCATTAGTTCAAGGTCCACACAGTTTATTATATTCAGCGTCATACTTGCCATGTTGTCGAGCTAGATTGCTGTCTCCATCAAGTAGCTGTCCGTTAGTCACTCACTCTACAGCAGGAAACTGCACTTCAAAATAAGAGCTCTGACCGCAAATTCACTGTACTTCAATATAAAGTGTGTTTTTACAACTTGCCACATTTGCGACCCACCTTTGGACTGTGACCAACCAGTTGGTCCATCTCCTATAAAAGCATTTTAAAAATTCTGTTTCACTTTGGATTAATTAAATTTTTTGGCCCCTTATCCAGATCCAAGGTCTTCAACATTGAGTATTGAGCACCGTACCTATTTCTTTATACATAATACAGCTGCACAGAGCAAACGCAAACAAAGCCTAAATAACATATCTAGCAGGGGACTGTGGTTCTGTTGTTGGGACAGGATTTTTGACAGCAGCACTTTGGAAACACAGCTCACCTGAAAAATGTCACTGAAACAGAGGCAGAGTGACCTTTTAACCCGCAGCGGCTCTGCTCGCATCGCTCACTGACACATGCTGTCAGTCCGGCTATTTAATTGAAACTGCTGCCTGCTGCTCCACAATTCAGTCACTTGTAAAACACGGCACAGCAGGCACAGGACATCCCTAAAATTTACTAATAACAAAATAACTGCAGCTTGTAATATTCTCAACTACATCTTCACAGCTAATGCTTTTCAATTTTTGCCCTTGAAGAAAACACACTCCTTGAATCAGTGGGTTTGGAGGTAATTACTCCAAGCAGTGACAAGTGTGTAAAATGAGGCCACTACCGCCAAAATGAAGATAATCAGTGTGCTAATAATACTAAATATTGTTAGATGAACATCCAACCTATACAAATACAAACAAGAGAACTAAGCCAAGGGATCAAAGTCAGCTATTGGCAGGGCCCTGCAAAACCAAAATGAAACAAGGTAACTGTTCCAGGGTGCTCAATCATGTGCTAACAACCATGGTGTTAATGCCAAGATTTATGGAGTGAGGGGTACAAGTCATGGGTCCGTGCTGCCAAATACTCATTACTGGTAGGCAGACATTTATAAATCGATGCGTAAAATACAAATCTGTTCATATCTTTAAGGTATACTATGCGTGGATTGTCGGATACTGTTTGTAAACAGCATCGCCAGTGAGACTGAACATGAAAGTCAATCCCAGATCGGTGTTTCGCCCTGCTACGTCTGCGTTTTTTCAGCGCTGCGTCCGCAATTTTTGTAGCTTCCTCTTGGACGCATGCAGCTTACAAACTTCTAGTGGCTCATAAGTGATGATTGAGAGAGATTACTTTAGAAAAAAGTCCTGCATAGTATACTTATAAGTTTCTTTATGATGTCTGTACTTTATTTCAGGTGTTCCAAAACTTCTGCTGTCAAACAATAATTTTTTTTTTTTTTTTTTTTTTTTTTTATCAAGTTTGAAAAAAGATACTTTTGTATTCCTCTTCACTGCAATCCTATGTGTTATAGCCATTTGGAAAGGAAGAGAGGAAGGAAGTCTCACCTGTGGAAGAGATAATGGCAAACACTTCCTGCAGCGAGGGAAGCAGCGTGGCTGGATCCGCTTTCCAGATGTTTTGCAGCAGTGTGCTAACCTTTGTCACCTGACCTACATACTCTTGCAGTTCCCGTTCTTCGCTGGCAAAGCAGTGGAAGTAACTGATGGTCCTCACCAGCTGCTGGCAGAACAAAACGCCCGACTTCTCCCTCGGGATGCACTGCACAAAGTCCGACAGCAAAGTGCTCAGGTGAGCACAAAGAGCAGGCTCGGGACGTTCGCACACCATCCTTAAAACCTCCACCTGAATCACGCTGAAGATCTCGAGCACCGAGGGGCAGCTGATGAGCAGCCGCAGGCAGCAGTGAACGTAGTCTATTATGACCGGGTCTTTGCGGTCCAGCGGGCCGTAGCCCTGCAGGAGAAGAGTGTGAACAAAGTCTTTGCTGAAGAAAAGCTCAAACTCCGGGCGGTGGTAACGCGCGTAGGCCTCCAAAACCTGGAAGCCAATCTGCTTCTGGAAGGCATCTTCACCAAGCAAGATGAGGCGGGTGGTGAGAGTAAACAACGCTTGACACTGCTCCTCCGTCACCTCTTTCTCAGCTGCTTCCACTACCTTCTTCACAATGGCCCTCTTCACTGGAACAGAGTGATCGGAGCTCACAAGGCCCTCCAGTATCTTGTCCATGATGACGGTCTGTAGAAGGCACAAGAGGAAATAATTAGCTGACAACTTCTGCGCTCATTTAATATATCACAGTGTGCTTTTTAACACATTTCCACAGCAAAAGAGTCCAGTCTTTGATAAGCTTTCTTCATGGAGGACATAGTTTGCAATGGTATTAATTAAAACCACTGTTATTAACATAAGTAACACCTGTGCTTTTCATACTACGATAAATCAAAATGTCTGTTGTGAAAAAAAGCCTGTAGTTGCACAGGGTCCTTTCTACCAGTCTAGAGTTCACACATTGTCCTCATTTGTTGAGTGCGCAGACTGTCAGCATTCAAAGGTAGACAATTGCAACTGGAATGTTGGGCTGTAGACATTGCTGTGATGTGACTACTGAAGGGAAGAAGTTGCTTTACACCATTTGGCAACTGGGCCTCAAAGTATCACACAACATAATTAGGCTACAGTGTTTGTGTATGGAGCTATGTAGTGCACAAGACAGGAAAAAACAGTTGTAATATTATGCTAGAACACAACAAATTTCAACTACTGCATTTAAAAAATACAGTAAAAAATGTTTTGGGTGAATCTTTTCCTCAATTTTACTATTAAAAATGTCAGAAAATAAAACATAGTTTTAGAGAGCCCAAAGTGATGTCTTCAAATTTGTCTGACCAACAGTCCTCAACCTTAAAAGTGACGACTCTACTATGGTATAAATGGAAAAATGCAGCGAATACTAAAAATTAGGAAAAACAACTTTTCTGCTTGAAAAATAACTGACAATTAAATTATTTTAGAAAATGATGTAGATTCATTTTGTGTTGATTAGTCATTTAATCGACGAATCTCTTTAGTATAAATTTAAATTTATGAATGCAAAAAAACTGTAAAGCAAAATAGGTTGTTTATTACACAGTCGTCACTTTTCTACAGACCGAGCTGCATTGAAGCCGAGTAACACAGATAAAGTTTATTTTTTAGAAAACAGTGAGTACTGTCTAAATACTTGCTTGAAAATCTTCATATATTTTCCTAAATATTTCAAAATGTGAATCTAAAGCAGACGTAATATTTACGGAGGCTTCAGTTCATCTGTCACAGAATTTTTGCCTCAATTTTGACAATCCTTTTTGTGGAGATTTTTGACAGGTAAGGTAATGTCATGTTTTTGTATTTTTCCTTTAAAAACATGTTCTCAGTCCAACACATGATTAATCTATCAGTTATCTACAGTAACAAAAGGTCTAATAAGCCAGTTATTCCATGGTATCATGTCACTGGATAAGGGCACTACACGGACGATGGGAAAAAGAGCTGGACATTGAAATAACTGAGGACATGTGGCTGAGTGTCTAGGAAACACAGTCTACCTCCACTAACTCCCGAACTTCTGCTGGAAAAACCTGATCGCGTTGTCATCACGCCCAAACAGAAAACAAACTAGCACTCAGCAATGCTGCTGGGGGAAGTGTGGAGAAATCATGATTGACCATGCCCATTCTGATGTTGTCCTATTCAGACTGCCTGTAAGGAAGTAACAACAATCATTTTGAAAAACTTTGGGTTTTAATATTAGTACAACGTTCATGTCCCTTTATCTTGGATACATCCCTGACAGACTAAGTAAAGATGATACCTATCTCTTAAAGATCTTGTTGGCAGCATGTAAAAATACTGGCAGAAAAACTGTCCCACTGCTGGCCTTTTTGTCAATATTGTTACACACTTAGACCAGGAGTGTCAAACTCATTTAGTTCATGGACCACATACAGCCCAATTTGATCATCACACAATAACCTCTTAGTACCATCAGCTCGAATAATTTCCCTTTTTTGTGTGAAGAATTACCATTCTGCAGACGTTCATCCTTTTACAAAACAGATTAACAGCCTGAGATGTCTAAAGAAAAATAAGTACAATTTCAACAGTATGTCTCAGTATTTCCACATTCAGTCAGTCGACTTCTCACTGTCATTACATGTGCATTTATCCATACATTACCTGATACAGATTGTTTGAACTAAAGCTGCTGACTGACAATATTTTGCACAATCTTGAACATTTTAAACATGGCCACAGTAAGTATTCATTGTTATATCAGAGAGCTGTGTTCTGGTCAGGGTGGAAAAACCTCTGAAGCAGACTTTTAGATGAAGTAGGCAACACAGTGTTTAACTTGTTCCTGAACCATGACATCCCTTAGCCTTGGCATTTAGGGGGCCAGATTGGAGCCTTAGGTGGGCCAGTTCTAGCGTATGTTTGACACCCCTGACCTATATCTTCTAGAATAGATGACCTACTTCATACAACCTCAAAAAGAATTGAGAGAAAATGGTGTGTTTATTTAGCCAATGGGACAGATCTCACATAATTATTGTATGTACAATGTGTGATATCTTGCTTTAAATAAAGAAAATTTTCCTTGACTTTTTAAACATCCCATGATCTCATATTTGTTTTTTTTATCCCGTGTTCTGCCCTTTGTGGATTTTGTTTATTTATTGTCCTAGTAAGGTAAAAAGTGTTCATATAAAATAGTTGTAAATATTTACCATTTAAATCTCTGTCTTAGATATTTAATCTGTGGTAGCTCGAGTATCAGTTCATACCATCCCACAGTTGTAATTGTAGGTGATGTATTAATAATCAATTTAAGCAATACATATTTTTCGGGCAGCAAATGTAAGAATACTGAATAGACTTTAATATGATATTACACGTATTTAACACACACCACACACTGATGTTTTCCTCTTATCTCACAGCTTCAGGAACACAGCCACCAACCGCTATCTGTGCTTGTTGTGTAGCTACAGGCGGCTAGCTTGCTAACGCCTAGCATTAACGGTTAACGGTTATTTCTTTACGTCCGGCGGTTAAAACATGGCTCTAATGTTAATTACAATCAAACCTCTTGGGACAAATCCCCCGCATATACCAACAGATGTTAGTAACATCAATCTACAACAATAAAAAAATACGAACAAAGCAGTCAAACAGGCCTGTCGTTAGCCACAGAGGTTAGCTGAGTAACTGTTAGGTGCCTATGATTTAGCATAAATACCGTCATGTAGTAACACAATACAGGAGCTTCACGCTCTGTACTTACCAAAATGAAGCATGACAACAATGTCCGACCAGAATATGCTCCACTCTCGATAGATGTTAACCCTCTTTTAGTAGATAAACCGTATTATTTTGGTTCATTTCATCGCTCAGAATCAGCTGATTAACCCTACAGACGTCATTCCTATGGACAGTGAAGTTGGTAGGACCCCTGTGTTAAGCTGTTTCATTGCCTGTTTCGCAGTTGTTGAATTTTGAGTGGTAAAATCAGTGTTTCTCCGAAAACTATGTTTCTAAATATGGCGAATCCCAAGATAAAAAGTATAGTAAAATTCTCATTAAGATATTTGGCCACTTTTGACCCGTTTCCTTACAGCTGATGTGCTGCATTCAAATACTCCTCGTACATCTCGACTGTGGTGGTCTCGGGTGAAGTTGTGTTCTTTGTTGAACATAAATTGGCTATCAAATGAACTCTGTAGTGTTTCTGTTGTTGTCCCTTTAGAGAGAGTGAAGCTCTCTGTTATTTTTAAATTAAAAAACCTGAAAATCGAGATTACAGTGACACAGGAAATTAAGTATATGTGAAATATATTTCCGGTAGGCAAACATTTATAATGAATTTAATCAAGCAGCATGGGAAAACAAAAATTAAGTTGATATTATGTTTGTAAAACAAATGATGTAAAGAAATACTGCATGCAGAGTATGAGTGTAAATCGTACAGGGAATCTTATTTCACATAGGCTTAACCTGTAAAGGGAGTTTTAGTATATGTGAGTCGACGTGAAAGTTTATTTGGACAAGTTCATCTCAGCTTTTATGAGAGCCATGCTGGATATCCCTCTATTGAAGAAAAAAATAATAATTTAAATATCAGCCTGCCAATTACAAATCTAGACTTGTCCTCATAAGCAGTTTACATGATTGATGGACTTAAAATAATCAAAGTAGTTCTTTTTATTAGCCTGTTATTACTATGACACTGAAATAAAAATTTCCTGAGGACAAAAACACTATACTGGGGTCAAACTGTTGTAATCATAAAGGTTTAAAGAGGCAACCTGGTATGAGCCAATATACTGCAGCAAATTATTTTGTATGTACAGGAAACGTATCTTAAAAATTTAAACAAAAACATATACACATGTACTCCAATGAAAATGTGCTCATATGTTCAGTTACTTACAGCTAGTACACAATTTATAGAGCTTATTTTGTGCTTGCATGCAATTAGATTCAAGTTTTGTCTTTAAGACTATGTGGTCTGGTTTAACCAAAAGAAACTGTTTTGTGTGGTCTACCAAGGATAATAATGTTTTTTCTTATTGTTGCATTTCCTTTCTGCCATCTAATATGTGACTGATGTTGTAATTTACTTGCTGTAGGTTGCACTGTAAATACTGTTATGTGCAGACAAATAGGTAGGCACAGGCGAATTTGTTTATTTATTATTATTATTCATTTATTTATTTAACACAAGGAAAATGTGCATAACAAGTCAGGGGATACATGTTCAAGGATAAAAGAAATTAGCAGCAATGGATAAAAGAAATTAGCAGCAAAACATAAAAAGAGAAACAATCAGGTGAGCAAAGAAGAGGCACAAACTAGCAAGGCAAGATACATTAAAAGAGCAAGGACCTGTATGTGGATTAATGCAGTTCATGTAGCAGTTTAAGTCGTAGTTGTAGTTGTAATTTAGAGACATTTAAAATCATCTAACGTAAAAACACATTTTTCCAACAGCCGCTGAAGGCAGCATCGCCAAGTCTCGCGATAGAGCCCACACCGGGTTGGCGCTGTGTGAACGCGGGTGCCCGAGAAAAATCTTGCTAGCGGGAACGTGCTGCCTGTGACCAACCGGTGTGTCTTTCATTGCAAACAGCAGGATAGTTCCCATTTACCGCGAGAAAGTTCGGAAAATCTTTAACGGCTCTTATACGGGATCATACAAGACACCAAGTAACGGACGAATATTTCTGATTCGAAGAGGAAATCCGATAGAAAATGTCCGAAATCCTAAACTGCGTGGAACAGCGGGAAGAGCAGACTGAACTTGAAGAAGCCGGAGGAGCGGAGGTAAGATGGGCATTAAAATGGGCATTGTCTCCTCTCAGCACCGCGTACATCATCCACAGAGCTGCTGCTGAAGTCTCAAACCCTGTACCCATCGTCCCTGAACGTTACCCACTTGTTCCTGAGACTCAGCCGTGTTAAACTTTCACTTTGCCGATGTTAATGCGGGCTGTGTGAGCTAACTGTTAGCTAAGTTAGCCGCGGTGGCGCAACTGTTAGCTCACGACAACAACAGCTCGGTCCCATTCACTCGGGACTGAAGCTAGCGTCACAGCACAGGCCAGCCTGTTTCATAAGCGCCCACACTAGCTGCTAGCTTAGCCTTGCTAGCAACCCATCGATCACAACATTAAAAGTCCCAGCGTGTTTTTTGTTTACTCCCAGGCCTGATTCACTGAGTGAATAGCTCGTGACTGTGATCAGGCTTTTGGGAAACCTCGTGAAAGTAACTCGCAGCAGCCCCGCTCAGCTGTCCCATCTGCGTCTTTGTTTTCAGTGGGACAGTGCGGCATGCAGGGCAGCCATGGCTCCTGAAACAGAGGGATGCTGCATGCCAGCACTTTGGGTTTTGTTTTAATTAACCCTAGATAAAATAAGGGGTTTCATGTGTGCAGCTCAACAGTTGAAGTAAATGAAACAAACTTTATTGATGTTAGGCAGAGAAATTGAAGGGTCACAGCAGCAGAAGTATAAAAACATTGATACATAAGTGAGCTTAAATGGCTAGAGTAATACATTAGTAGCACCTATTATACACAAAATAAAGTATATTAAACAACAAACAAGGGTGCTTAACACTATACATACTAATATAAGTAATCAATTTAAAGTGTACTGAGAGAAACATAGTGATAAAGTAGGAACAAAGAATACATTTAATACAAAAATTGCACTCTGGTGGTCGATAAAGTGTCCTGTCTCTGTAAATAGCAGTGCTATTAATAACAAAGGTTGTGTAGTACGTGTCTAATAGTGCAAATGCAGACGTGCAGAAAGTTGAGCACTGTGATTGACCTGCAGTGGGAATAGCAGCAATGACAAAAGACTTTCAGTAGTGCTCTTTCACACACTGTGAGTAAGGAGCTGCCTGATTGTTTAGGGTTTCATGTAGGGAAGGTTAGGAGATGTCAGTGATAAAGTTTTAGGGCTGCTGTGAAACTATGCTTACTTAGGGCAACAAAAAAAGTTTATCTTAGGTGTGTCTGTTCAATGGACAATTAAGAAAGGACAACAGAGGAGATACCCGCACACCAATACAACTGGGAAGGACAGCCACAAAAAAGGTTCACAGGCTGAGATCAATGCAAAAAAGAAGGGTGCTCAAAGTGCCAAAAATAATCAAGTGAATAAAAACAGCAGCAAATGTTTCAGTCCTTACTATCATCAGTTATTTTTTGCACTTTGAGCACCCTTCTTTTTGTAATTTGACTTTTTTTGCATTGATCTCAGCCTGTGAACCCAGTTGTATTTGTGTGCCTGTATCTCCTCTGTCGTCTTGCTTAGAACTCCATGATAGCCACAAGTTGATTTCACCATACATCTCTCCCCTAACTCCTCTGTTGCACCTAGAGAGCACCCCAAAACAGAGCTGGCAGTTTGTTCAGTCTGTTCCTGTCTGATGCTGTTGGAAAAAACGGAGGATATACATTAAACAAGAGTTTTTCTGTTTCCTTTTTTCCCTGGTCAGGAGAAGTCTGACTCTTCAGATGCTGGAAAAGAGTCATCTTCAGATGCAGGGCCCGATGGACAAGATGCATCCTCCTCCTCCTCATCCAAAACTAAAGAGTCTGCTCCGGGATATGAGGAGAAAGTGGTAAGGACACTTGTACTGTAGCTTTCACCACTTGTCACTCACCTGTCTGTTCTTGGATGAATAAGCTGACAAGACTGTGTTGCTGTGTGTATAGCAAACCGACCGGACCAACAGATTTGAGTACCTGCTGAAGCAAACAGAGTTGTTTGCTCATTTCATCCAACCAGCCGCACAGAAGACCCCCACCTCCCCCCTGAAGATGAAGCCAGGGCGTCCTCGCATCAAGAAAGATGAGAAACAGAATCTGCTGTCTGCTGGAGAGTGAGTACATCTCCACGTAGATTTATTTTATTTTAGGAAGTTTACTCCCATTGTGATCATGATTAACTGTTAATTTTCTGTGCTTAAACAGCAACCGGCATCGGCGTACAGAGCAAGAGGAGGATGAAGAGCTTCTGAACGAGAGCACCAAGACGACTAATGTCTGCACACGCTTTGATGAGTCTCCCTCCTGTAAGCAATGACCCTTTTAGTAAGTTATATGGTGAATGTCTATTATGAGCAGAAGTGATGATGATGAGTTTTCTTGTCCCTCATTTAGACGTCAAAACAGGAAAGATGAGGGACTATCAGGTCCGTGGTCTGAACTGGCTCATCTCTTTGTATGAAAATGGCATCAACGGCATTCTCGCTGATGAAATGGTCAGTACTTTCTCACAGTCACACCTCAATATTTTAAAGGGGGATGACAGCTATTTTTTTGTCTCCCAATATTGTTGTATTTACATGTACTGCTCCATCTCACACACACACACACACTCTGCTGCTTCTCAGGGTTTGGGGAAGACTCTGCAGACTATTTCCCTGCTGGGTTATATGAAGCACTACAGAAACATCCCTGGTCCCCACATGGTGCTGGTGCCCAAGTCCACCCTCTACAACTGGATGAATGAGTTCAAGAGATGGGTGCCTTCACTCCGCGCAGTCTGCCTGATCGGAGACAGAGATGAGAGGGTAGGCATCAGAATATTATGTCTGTAATTAGAAATACTCATTTGATTTGTTTTTAAACTTTGTAATACCTCCTATTTGTTCGTTTTTAATGTGCAGGTTGTACAATGGGAATTTGATTTGGCCAGCAACACTAAATCTCAGCATAGCAGGCCTAGTTTTTATTCTGCAAGTCAGGTTTTATGGTGCTGAGTCAGCATTTTTGATCACACTAACGCAGTATGTAGACCCAGGACATAATCAACTGGGATTAAAGGTTTTGTGTGAAAGTGATGAAATTGGGTTTTGTGATATGTAAGGCTGCAACTAGTCTGTTAATTTGCTGATTATTTCCACAGTTAATTAGTCTATAAAATGTCAAAAAACTGAAAAATGCTCATCACAATTTTTCAGAGCTCAAAGTGACGTCTTGAAATCGCCTCTTTTGTCCTACAAACCATCTATAACCCAAAGACTCGTACAATGTTAAACATTTTTGCTTGAATTTTCT